GTACTGCTAACATTTGCTCCTTCTCTACTCTTCAACATTCTCTGCTTTAGACATAGTGAGACAAAAATACTATTGTATACAAAAAAATTTATAAAAGAGCTGCTAAATGCCAAATTAACATTTCCAAACTTGTTGTTTGGAAACTTCAACGCAACCAATTAGCGCATATAAAAAACATTATATATTCATATAATAGCTCCGACATCAAATTTCGTGTCTGATAACGTCACAAATTGTAACAAATTGTCACAAAACTTAACATTTATTATTTTAACCACCTAACAATTTCTTTGCCAGTGCCTGTAACAGCGAAATGTTGTTCATACTCACCTATGTATATTAACAACATAAATGCACTTCACTTTCCATTAACATTTACTGGTTCAGTGCTTTGCTGTAAAAACCGCATTATCGACTGATAGCATAAATTTGTGGCTGTCTAGATGGCGCACAACATCGCGGGCAAAATAAAGTTCATATCCAAATAACTTGTACAGTAATCACTTGATATAAGTAGATACATACATACAAATGTCTTTAAAATCTTATAATAAGAAACTCCGATGGTTTTTTTTGAAAAATGGATGGATTTTTATGAAAGAACTAATATTTACAATGTTTTTTTTTTAAATATTAATTAGTGTTTTTTAGAGATTAATGTACAATTTAAAAATATTTTTTACTTATGTACATAACTCGGAAATTTTATTATTAACCATTCTTAATCTACTCATTTCCTACAGGCGACTATTTGCGCGAAAAATATGAAGAGTCTACGGTAGTGAAATTGAATAAACGTGGACGTTTACAAGTGAAAGATCCGCAGTATAAAGTGCCAACGGCGCATGATTTGGTGTATCTGGATGAGAGTCCTGATTGGTGCCGCAATAGCCGGCAGTTGCAGTGGCCAGGTAAGTTGAATAAAAGTTATATCAATTCACTTTTAATCCAAATAAAGTCACTTAATGAACCCCGAAATTTCGGTATTAGAGAAAATCATTTCTGGATCCCAAAAATTTAAATCACTTAAATAAAATTAAGAGATTTAAAATATCAAGGCTGTATTTGAGTGCACTAAAATATATCAAGATGAAGGGAAAACCAGTTCGGGATCCATAAAAATAACTTAAATAAAATCTTTATATCATTACAACAGTATTTTAGTGCCTTAGTTGATTTCGGAATTAGAATTATTAAATTAAAAACTTTTTCGGGATCCCGAAAAAACTTAAAACTTATTGTCATTATGTTGCACTAGTAAAATAACTCTATTTTTTACTGTTATATTTAGTTATATCTAGATAGTTTAAACCTTTTGAGTGCTATCAATTACTTTACGGCAACTTTTTTGCACACATAGAAAGAGTTAATACAATTCTTGTTTTAAAGATTACAACGCCTTTGAATGCTTTCAATTATTTCAGTATTAGCAAGAAAATTTTTACGGGATACCGAAAAACTTTTTAGCATTGAAATATGATTGTACAAATAAAAATTAACTCCAATCAAAATCTTATATAATATTTGGAAAATTGCAGCATTTATGCCTTCAAGGATATCGTTTCTCTGCCACCACGATATTATTGATGAATCAACTCTAATTATTTTGTACTTACAGGCACACATGGTCGCGTTTGCAATAAAACATCCTCGGGCTTGGATGGTTGCGGCATTTTATGTTGCGGTCGAGGCTACAACACCAAAAACATTGTGGTGCGCGAACGTTGCAATTGCAAATTTCACTGGTGCTGTCAGGTCAAATGTGATGTCTGTGTGAAAGTGCTCGAGGAACACACCTGTAAATAAATAAATAATTATAAAAACACAAATATAATAACAAAACTTCATACGAAAAAAGTAACTAAAACCCAAATGATAAAATGAAACTACTCAACAACACATGACGGCGGCAAGGAGGCGATAAACACGATATGAAAATTAGTAAATAAACCAAAAAAAAAAATACATGAAATTATTAGACAGAATGAGAAAAAAGAAAATCACCCGATACAGTTGCTGTGCTCTCGCCCCGATAATCCTTTCGTTCGGCCAATGCATTACAAAAATTCGTGTTAGACTGCATATACGGACATACATACAAGTACATAAAGTTAAGCAGTATGTATGTATGTATGTGCTATAAATAAAATATGCAAATAACGGCATGTTAAA